CCATCTCTGTCACTTTGCCATCTGTCACTTTGACATCTCTGTCACTTTTCTGCCACATCTGTCACTTTGTCATCTCTGTCACTTGCTTATCTCTGTCACTTTGCCACACCTGTCACTTTGCCATCTCATCACTTTGCCACATCTGCCATTTGCCATCTCTTCACTTTGCCATCTGTGACTTTGCCATCTCTGTCACTTTGCCACATCTGTCACTCTTTGCCATCTCATCCTTTGCCACATCTGTTTTGCCATCTCTGTCACATTGCCTCTGTCCTTTGCCATCTCTGTCACTTTGCCACATCTGTCACTTTTGCCATCTCTGTCATTTTGCCACATCTGTCACTTTGCCATCTCTGTCACTTTGCCACATCTGTCACTTTGCCATCTCTCTGTCACTTTTCCACATCTGACTTTGCCATCTCTGTCACTTTGCCACATCTCTGTGACTTTGCTATCTCTGTCACTTTGCCACATCTGTCACTTTTGCCATCTCCTGTCACTTTGCCACATCTGTGACTTTGCCATCTCTGTCACTTTGCCACATCTGTCACTTTGCCATCTCTGTCACTTTGCCACTTCTGTGACTTTTTCCATCTCTGTCCTTTGCCCATCTGTCCTTTGCCATCTCTGTCACTTTTCACATCTGTCCATCTCTCTGTCACTTTGCCCATCATCTGTGACTTTGCCATCTCTGTCACTTTTGCCCTTCTGTCACTTCTCTGTCTTTGACACATCTGTCACTTTGCCATCCTCTGTCACTTTGCCACATCTGTCACTGCCATCTCTGTCACTTTTATCATCTGTCACTTTTGCCATCTCTGTCACTTTGCCACATCTGTCACTGCCATCTCTGTCACTTTGCCATCTCTTTGCCATCTCTTCTTTGACATTTGCCCATCTCTGTCACTTTGCCACATCTGTCCTTTGCCACATCTGTCATTTTCACATCTGTCCTTTTCCCATCTCTGTCAATTTGTCAAATCCTCACTTTTCAATTTTTGTTACTTTGCCATTTTCTGTCATTTGTTATCTGTCTTTGACACATCTGTGACATTGCCATCAGCTGTCACTGTCATCTGTGACTTTTTCCATCTCTGTCCTTTCAGTCACTTTTGCCATCTCTGTCACTTTGCAACATCTGTCATTGCCATCTCTGTCACTTTGACATCTCTGTCACTTTGCCACTGTCACTTTGCCATCTCTTTGTCATGTTTCTCAATTTGCCATATCTGACACTTTGCCATCTCAGTCCCTTTGCCATCTGTGACTTTGCCATGTCCCATCTCTGTCACTTTGCCACTCTGTCACTTTTCCATCTCTGTCTTTGCCATCTGTCATTTGATATCTCCGTCAATTTTACCATCTACGACACTTTGACATCTCTGTCACTTTGTCATCTCTGTCACTTTGACATCTCACTCACTTTGCATCTCCACATCCTTTTCATCTCCCGTCACTTTGCAACATCTGTCCCTTTGCCATCTCCTATCACTTTGCAACATCTGTCCTTTTGCCATCTCCGTCACTTTGCCACATCCGACACTGATTTCAAGTCCTTTGCCATCTCCGTCACTTTTTGCATGTGTCCCTTTGCCATCTCTGTCACTTTGCCATATGTCCTTTTTGCATCTCCTGTCACTTTGCACATCTGTCACTTCTACATCTCTGTCACTTTGCCACATCTGTGACTTTGCCATCTCTGTCACTTTGCCATATCTGTCACTTGGCATCTGTCTCTGCATCTCTGTCACTTTGCCTGTCACTTTGCCATCTCTTCATGTTGCCATCTGTCACTTTGCCATCTCTGTCACTTTGCCACATCTGTCACTTTGCCATCTCTGTCACTTTCACTTTTGCCATCTCTGTCACTTGCCACATCTGTCACTTCCATTTGCTCACTTGGTTACCTGTCTTTGCTCTCGTCCTTTACACATCTGTCACTTTTCCATCTCTGTCACTTTTGCCACATCTGTCACTTTGCCATCTCTGTCACTTTTTCCATCTCTGTCTGTCACTTGCCATCTCTGTCACTTTTTTACATCTTGTCATTGCTATCCCTGTCCTTTGCCACATCCTTTGCGTATTTTTGTCTCTGTCACTTTGCCACTTCAGTTTTTGCCATCTGTCACTTTCACTTTGCCACATCTGTCCTTCCATCCTCTCTGTCACTTTTCTTATCTTCTTTCCATCTCTGTCACTTTGCCACATCTGTCCTTTGCCTCATCTGTCATTTTCTCTGTCACTTTGCCACATCTGTCACTTTGCCATTTGTCCTTCTCTGTCCTTTGCCATCTCTGTCATTTGCCATTTCTTTGCCATCTCCTGTCCTTTGCCACATCTGTTGACTCCATCTCTGTCACTTGCTTGTCCTTTGCCATCTCAGTCTTTCCCACATCTGTCCTTTTCTACGCCCCTTTGCCACATTAAGTTTTCCATCTCTGTCACTTTTGCATTCATCTGTCACTTTGCTAATATCTGTGACATTTTCACGCCACATCTGTCTTTGCCATCATTAAGTGACTTTTGCCATCTCTGCTTTTGCCACATCTGTCACTTTTGCCATTCTGTCACTTTGCCACATCTGTATTTGCGTCATTTCTACATCTGTGACTTTGCTATCCCTGTCACTTTGCCACATCTGTGACTTTGCCATCTCTGTCACTTTGCCAATCTGTCCATTCCACATCCAGGACTTTACATCTCAGCATTTTTCCACATCTGTGACTTTGCCATTTCTGCTATTAACACATCTGTGACTTTGCCATCTCTGTCACTTTGCCACTTCTTGACAATCTGTCACTTTCTATCGTGATTTTCTCTGTCATTTGCCACATCTGTCAATTTGTTTTCTCTTGGCTACTTTGCCACATTTGTCACTTTGCCATCTGTCACTTTGCCATCGTATTTTCTATCACTTTGCCACTTCTCATTTGCCATCTCTGTCACTTTGGTTTTCAATCTGTCCTGTATCGCATTTTCTACGCTTCCTTTTCCTCATTAAGTTTTCTGTCACTTTTGCCACCATCCTGTCCCGACATTGTGACATGTTCATTCAATTTCCATATCTGACTGCCATCTTTGCCATCTGTCATCTCAGTCAGTTTTCCCATCTCTGTCCTTTGCCACATCTCCTCACTCCATTACTTTGCATCTCTGTCCGTAATTTACCATCTACATTTACTTTTGTCCCTTTGTCATCTCATCTGTCATCTCACTCTTATGTCATCTCTGTCACTCCCTTGCCCATCTGTCCCTTTGCATCTCCTATCACTTTTGTATCTGTCCCATCTCTGTCCTTTGCCATCTTGCCACATCTATCACTTTTGCCATGTGTCCTTACCCATCTCTGTCCACTGCCATCTTTGCCCACATCCCCTCTTTGCCATCTCTATCACTTTGACCACATCTGTCACTTTCACTTGCCATCTCTGTCACTTTGCCACATCTGACTGACCTTTCCATCTCTTTCTCTTTGCCACAATCTGTCCTTTATCCATTTTGCTCTTTCATCATTACATTTTCACTTTGCCAATCTGTCCTGTGTATCGCTTTTTCCACTCTTAAGTTTTCCATCTCTGTCACTGCCACAATCTGTCCTGTATCGCATTTTCATACTTTCCTCATTAAGTTTTCCTTTGCCATTTCTGTCAATTTGTCCATCTGTATTTTCTATCTCTGTCTTTTCCATTATCTTTCTCTGTCACTTTGCCATCTCTGTCGCTTTTGCCACATGTTCCTCATTAAGCCATCTCTGTCACTTTGCCATGTGTCCTTGTATCCATTTTCCTTTCCTCATTAAGTTTCTCTCTGTCACTTTTCCATCTCTGTCGCATTTTCATTACTTCCTCTGTCCTCATTAAATTTTCTGTCCTTTTGCCACATCTGTCACTTTATCCACATCTGTCACTTTGCCCATCTTAAGTTTCTCTCTGTCCTTTTCTGTCTATTCGTTTGCCGCATTTTCCTGCCATCTCTGTCACTTTTCCTCTGTCCACTTTGCCATCTCTGTCCTTATCGTTTTCCTTTGCCATCTGTCCTTTGCCATCTCTCATCACTTTTTACTTTAGTCTGTCCTGTGCCGTATCCTGTACGCTGCATCTCTGTCATTTGCCATCTCTGTCTTTGCCATTCAGTCTGTCACTTTGTGACATCTCTTCTCCCTCATTTGCCCACATCTGTCCTTTGCCATCTCTGTCACTTTGCCATTTCTGTCACTTTTCATCTCTTTTCCCATCACTTTTTGCCCCCTTTAATCTGTCCTCTCATTTTTCTACGCTGTTTTGCCCCTCTGTTTGCCACTCTGTTGACTTTGCCATCTGTCTTTGCCACATCTGCATTTTCACATTGTGAGTTTCTCTCTCTGTCCTTTTGGTTGTCAAACTGCCATCTCTCGCATTTTGCCACCTGTGACTTTGCCATCTCTTAAGTTTTCCACATCTGTCACTTTTGCCATCTCTGTCACTTTGCCACATCTGTCCTATTGTTTTCTCTCTGTCTTTTGTATCTCTGTCTTTGCCACTTCTGTCCATCTCTGTCCTTTCTCTGTCCCTTTGCACCTGTCACTTTCCCTACTTCATCAGTCTCTCAATGTATCGCATTTGTCTTACGCCCTATCTCTGTCCTTTGACACATCTGCCATCTGTCATGTTATCGCATCTTCTGACTTTCCACTTTTTTCCCTCATCTCCATTCTTTGGAATCACTGCCATCTCTGTCACTTTATCGTCATTTTCTGTCCAACTCTTTGACATGTTCGTCAATCTGTCCAATGCCTCAGTCTGTCTGTCTTTGCCATTTTCTCTGTCACTTGCCATCTCCCTCGCTTTCCCATCTGTCTTTTGCCATCTCTGTCATTTGATATCTCCGTAATTTACCATCTGACACTTACCATCTCCGTCACTTTGTCATGTCGTCCTTTGACATCTCACTCACCGTGTCATCTCGTCCTTTCTCATCTCCCGTACATCTGTCCTTTGCCACTTTATATCTCATCCTTTGCCATGTCTTGTACATCTCTGTCCTTTGCCATCTGTCTTTGCCATCTCTGTCTTTGCCATCTGTCACTTTTACCACCTGTCACTTTGCCCATCTGTCTTTGCCATCTCTGTCACTTGCCACATCTGTCACTTTGCCATCTCTGTCACTTTACCCCACATCTGTCACTTTGCCATCTCTGTCTTTGCCACATCTGTCACTTTTCCATCTCTGTCACTTTGCATTCATCTGTCCTGTGCCATCTTTCTCACTTTCCACATCTGTCAGTTTTCATCTCTGTCTTTTTTGTTTTAATCTGTCACTTTATCGCATTTCTGTCACTTTGCCCATCTGTCCTCATTAAGTTTTCATTTTGTCACTTGTCGGTATCCACATTTGTCACTTGCCATCTCCTTTCTTTGTTACATCTATCAGTCTGTCCTGTATCGCATTTTCTCTGTCACTTTACATCTGTCAGTTTTCTCTGTCACTTTTGCCCAATCTGTCCTGTATCGTATTTTCATCTCTGTCTTTTCCTCATTAAGTTTTGCCATCTCTGTCCTTTTCCCAATCTGTTTTGTATCTCATTTTCTACTTTGCCTTTGTTTTCTCTGTCATTTTGCCACATCTGTCTGTCACTTTGCCATATGTCCTTTTGCCATCTCTGTCACTTTGCCACATCTGTCACTTTGCCATCTCTGTCACTTTGCCACATCTGTGACTTTGCCATCTCTGTCACTTTGCCACATCTGTCACTTTGCCATCTCTGTCACTTTGCCACATCTGTCACTTTGCCATCTCTGTCACTTTGCCACATCTGTCACTTTGCCATCTCTGTCACTTTGCCACATCTGTCACTTTGCCATCTCTGTCACTTTGCCACATCTGTCACTTTGCCATCTCTGTCACTTTGCCACATCTGTGACTTTTCCATCTCTGTCACTTTGCCACATCTGTCACTTTGCCATCTCTGTCACTTTGCCACATCTGTCACTTTGCCACATTTGCCACATCTGTCACTTTGCCATCTCTGTCCTTTGCCACATCTGTCCCTTTGCCATCTCTGTCACTTTGCCACATCTGTGACTTTGCCATCTCTGTCACTTTGCCACATCTGTCCTTTTGCCATCTGTCACTTTGCCATCTCTGTCACTTTGCCACATCTGTCTTTATCTCTGTCACTTTGCCATCTCTGTCATTTGCCATCTGCCCACATCTGTCACTTGATCTCTTCACTTTGCCACATGTGTCACTTTGCCATCTCTGTCACTTCCACATCTGTGACTTTGCCATCTCTGTCACTTTGACTTCTGTCTTTGCCATCTCTCTTTACCCACATCTGTCCTTTGCCACATCACTTTACCCACATCTGTCTTGCCATCTCTGTCCTTTGCCATCTCACTTGCATCTCATCTGTCCTTTGCCATCTCTGTCTCTGTCCTTTGTCTCTGTCACTTTGCCCATCTGTCACTTTGCCATCTCTGTCCTTTTGCCACTTCTGTCTTTGCCATCTCTGTCACTTTGCCACATCTGTCCTTTTGCCACTTCTGTCACTTTTGCCACATCTGTCACTTTGCCATCTCTGTCACTTTGCCACATCTGTCACTTTGCCATCTCTGTCACTTTTTGCCACACATCTTTGCCATCTCATCTTTGCCCATCTCTGTCACTTTGCCACATGTGTCACTTTGTTTTGCTATCTTCTGTCATCTTTCTTTGCCACATCTCTTTGCCATCTCTGTCTTTGCCCACATTGTGACTTTTCCCATCTCGTCACATTGTCACTTTGCCATCTCTGTCACTTTACATCTGTCACTTTGTCTCTCATCACTTTGCCATCTCTGTCACTTTGCCCATCTGTCTCTCTGTCCTTTGCCACATCTGTCACTTTGCCATCACTTTGTCTGTCCTTTTCTCTGTCCTTTACATCTGTCCTTTGCCATCTCTGTCACTTTGCCACATCTGTCACTTTGCCATCTCTGTCCTTTGCCACCATCCATCTCTGTCACTTGACTTTTTGCCATTGTCCTTTGCCATCTCCTTTTGTCTCTGTCACTTTCCATCTCTGTCCTTTGCCATCTCTGTCCTTTGCCATCTCCATCTCCTGTCCTTTGCCACTTGTCACTTTGCCATCTCATCTTTGTCACTTTGCCATCTCTGTCACTTTGCCCATCGTCACTTTGCCATCTCTGTCACTTTGCCACATCTGTCACTTTGCCATCTCTGTCACTTTGCCATCTGTCCTTTGCCCTCTTCACTTTGCCTTTGGTTATCTCTGTCACTTTGCCATCTCTGTCACTTTGCCACATCTGTCACTTTGCCATCTCTGTCACTTTGCCACATCTGTCACTTTGCCATCTGTCACTTTGCCACATCATCTTTGCCATCTCTGTCACTTTGCCATCTGTCACTTTGCCATCTCTGTCCTTTGCCCACTGTCTTTTACCATCTCTGTCACTTTGCCCATCTGTCCTTTGCCATCTCTGTCCACTTTGCCACATCTGTCCTTTTTGCCATCTCTGTCACTTTGCTGGGTATCTGTCACTTTGCTATCTCTGTCACTTTGACTGTCCTTTGCCATCTCTGTCCTTTGCCACATCTGTCACTTTGCCATCTCTTTTGCCACATCTGTCACTTTGCCATCTCTGTCACTTTGCCACATCTGTCACTTTTCCATCTCTGTCTCTGTCCACTTTGCCATCTCTGTCACTTTGCCATCTGTCACTTTGCCATCTCTGTCACTTTGCCATCTGTCCTTTGCCATCTCTGTCCTTTTTGCCATCTGTCCTTTGCCCATTGTTTTGCCACATCTGTCACTTTTCTCTGTCACTTTGCCCATCTGTCCTTTGCCATCTCTGTCACTTTGCCACATCTGTCACTTTGCCATCTCATCTCTGTCCTTTGCCATCTGTCACTTTGCCATCTCTGTCACTTTTTGCCACATCTGTCACTTTGCCATCTCTGTCCCTTTGCCCATCTGTCTTTGCCATCTCTGTCACTTTGCCACATCTGTCACTTTGCCATCTGTCACTTTTGCCATCTCTGTCACTTTGCCACATCTGTCACTTTGCCATCTCTGTCACTTTGCCACATCTGTCCACTTTGCCATCTCTGTCACTTTGACACATCTGTCCTTTGCCATCTCTGTCACTTTGCCATCTGTCACTTTGCCATCATCTGTCACTTTGCCACATCTGTCACTTTTGCCATCTCTGTCACTTTGCCCATCTGTCCTTTGCCATCTCTGTCACTTTGCCACATCTGTCACTTTGCCATCTCTGTCACTTTGCCACATCTGTCACTTTGCCATCTCTGTCATTTGCCACATCTGTCACTTTGCCATCTCTGTCATTTTGCCACATCTGTCACTTTGCCATCTCTGTCACTTTGCCCACATCTGTCCTTTGCCATCTCTGTCCCTTTGCCACCCACTTTGCATCTCTGTCACTTTGCCCATCTGTCACTTTGCCATCCTCTGTCACTTTTGCCACATCTGTCTTTGCCATCTCTGTCACTTTGCCACATCTGTCCACTTTGCCATCTCTGTCACTTTGCCCACATCTGTCACTTTTGCCATCTCTCTGTCCTTTGCCACTTCTGTCACTTTGCCATCTCTGTCACTTTGCCACATCTGTCTTTGCCATTCTGTCCTTTGCCACATCTGTCCTTCCATCTCTGTTTTGCCATCACTTTGCCCATCTGTCATTTGCGTCTCTTATTTTCCACATATTTGCCATCTCTGTCACTTTACCACATCAGTCACTTTGCCATCTCTGTCACTTTGCCACAACTTTGCCATTCTTTGGAATCATCTGTCACATTGACATCTCCTTTTGCATCATCACATTTTGACATCTCTCTGTCACTTTGCCATTTGCCACTCTCATTTTGTCCTTTGCCATCTCTGTCATTGTGACATGTTCCCTGTCAATTTGCCACATCTTCCAGACTTTGCCATAATGCCACATCTCAGTCACTCTGTCACTTTGCCACATCTGTCAACATCTCTGTCACTTGCCATCTCTGTCCTTTTGCCATTCTGTGACTTTTCACTTCTCAATTTTGTTCCATCTCTGTCACTTTGCCCACATCTGTCCTTTGCCACTTTTTTTCCATCAATCTTTGCCCATCACTTTGCAACTTCCTTTGCCATCTCTTGTCATTTGATATCTCCGTAACTTCTGTGACTTTTGCCATCTCTGTCCTTTGCCCATCTGTGATTTTGCCATCTCCGTTACCACTTCAGTTCCTTTGCCATCTCCGTCTTTGCCCATCTGTCACTTTGCCATCTCTGTCACTTTGCCACTTCTGTCACTTTGCCACATCTGTCACTTCTGTGACTTTGCCATCTCTCTTGTCACTTTGCCACATCTGTCCCTTTGCCATCTCTGTCACTTTGCTGTCAATTTGTCAAATCCGTCATTTGCTTTTGTTACTTTGCTTTCTGTCACTTTGCCACATCTGTCACTTTGCCATCTCTGTCAACACTTGTTGCCATTCTGTGTTTTGCTATCTCTGTCACTTTGCCACATCCAGTCCTTTGCCATCTCCGTCACTTTGGAATCATCGTCACATCTGTCACTTTGCCATCTCTGTCACTTTGCCATCTTGTCATTTTTGTCACTTTGCCATCTCTGTCACTTTGCCCACATCTGTCACTTTGCCATCTCTGTCACTTTTGCCACATCTGTCACTTTGCCTGTCATTTTTAAGTTATCTGTGACTTTGCCATCTCTGTCACTTTACCACTTCTGTGCCATCTGTCTCTGTGACTTTGCCATCTCTGTCACTTTGCCACATCTGTGACTTTGCCATCTCTGTCACTTTGCCACATCTGTGACTTTGCCATCTCTGTCACTTTGCCACATCTGTGACTTTGCCATCTCTGTCACTTTGCCATCTCCTTTGCCACTCTTGCCACATCTGTCCCTTTGCCATCTCTCTGTCACTTTGCCCTTCTGTCACTTTGCCACATCTCTCACTTTTGCCAATCTGTCCGTCTGTCACTTTGCCACATCTGTCACTTTTGTCTCTGTCATCTCTGTCACTTTGGATTATCTGTCAGTTTGACACATCTCCATTTTGCCATCAGCTTCATGTTGCCATCACTGTTTTTCCCTCTCTGTCCTTTGACTTTACCATTTCTGTCCTGTCAGTTTTGCCATCTGCCATAATCTTTGAATCACTGTTATTTCCTGTCACATTGACATCTCCGTCACATTGACATCTCTGTCACTTTTGCCACCTCTGTCACTTTGTCACAACTCCGACATTGTGACATGTTCATCAATTTCACACATCTGACACAATGCCATCTCAGTCACTTTACAACATCTGTCACCTTGCCATCTCAGTCAGTTTTCCATCTCTGTCACTTTGCCATCTCCCTCGCTTTTCAATCTCAAATGCTTTGCCATCCACGTCATTTTGATATCTCCGTAATTTTACCATCTACGACACTTTTGATCTCCGTCACTTTGTCATCTCAACTTTGACATCTCACTCACCGTGTCATCTCCGTCCTTTCTCATCTCCGTCACTTTGCAACATCTGTCCCTTTGCCATCTCCTATCACTTTTGCAACATCTGTCCCTTTTGTCTCCGTCACTTTGCCATCTCCGACACTTTGATTTCCAAGTCACTTTGCCATCTCCGTCACTTTGCCATGTGTCCCTTTGCCATCTCCGTCACTTTGCCATATGTCCTTTTGCCATCTCTGTCACTTTGCCACATCTGTCACTTTGCCATCTCTGTCACTTTGCCACATCTGTGACTTTGCCATCTCTGTCACTTTGCCACATCTGTCCTTTTGCCATCTCTGTCACTTTGCCATCTGTCACTTTGCCATCTCTGTCACTTTGCCACATCTGTCTTTGCCATCTCTGTCACTTTGCCACATCTGTCACTTTGCCATCTCTGTCACTTTGCCACATCTGTCCTTTTGCCATCTCTGTCACTTTCCTCCAGCCCCATCTGTCATTTGCCCATCTCTGTCCACTTTTGCCACACCTCTGTCACACCTCTCCTTTGCCATCTCTGTCACATCTGTCTTTGCCATCTCTGTCACTTTGTCACTTTGCATCTGTCACTTTGCCATCTCTGTCACTTTGCCACATCTGTCACTTTGCCATCTTTCACTTTGCCATCTCTGTCACTTTGCCCATCTGTCACTTTGCCATCTCTCTCTGTCCACTTTTGCCACATCTCCCTTTGCCACATCTTCCTTTTGCCATCTCTCATTTGCCCATCTGTCACATCTGTCTCTGTCACTTTGCCATCTCTGTCACTTTGCCATCTGTCACTTTGC